GAAGCTGGAGCACTTGTCCTGCAAGAACGGCTTGCGTTGCCAGCACTAGTTCAGAGGCAGTTGACATGAACTGCAATTGGGAGGATCAGGCTGGAGACAGAAAAATCACACCAGCAAGACATCAGAATCCATAAGCTGAGCTGAGTGCACAACTGTCGCAAGCCTGTGGACACACAATCTAATCCAGAGAGAAAAACGTAGCAATGACATCCTCCTTTGCAACGATGTCTAGGCACTGCAATATGAGAAATCGACCTTCACCATTTAGTTAGTTCATCAAGAGATTTAGTTCTTCCAAGAGAATCTTTCAAAATCTAGGAGGACGGGTGGGAGGTTAACTAATTGGCTTGTTCTGCCTATTGCAAACTGCTGGAGAACTTCAAAGCTTGGTGTTTAGGGAACAGACTTCAAGCATAATCTTTAAGGGAGTAGACTTTAAGCAATCAAGATAGAGACATTCTGGTGGGTCATTTATGTTGACCCTAACCATTAGCCTTCATACAACCAGAGAACATCCACAGATTTTGCTGAACGTATGATGCTCTTAGAAAAGAATAGTGGCCACACTGGTGAACTTCTGGTGAATAAACTTGGTAATGAGGCAGTGAAAATACCAGAAAAGTTTCTGCAACCTGATGAGAGAAAACATGGCACTGCAGTCAACAGCTCTGCTGCTGCTCTGTAGAAAGACAACCTCACTCCTGTTCTCAGGAAGTAGGACAGAAGATAGATTTTATTATTATTACTAATATTTTATTTTATTAAGAAGGGGGGCAGATATTTTGGAAAGCTAAGGGATTTCTGATTGGAAGATGTTCTGCTTCTTTAAGCTCATGATGGTATTGCTTGCTTTCCCCTGGTGATCCATCTAATTGCAATGTGTTAATTTTGTATGGAAATTCTCTCTTCCAGAGAAACTGAGAACGTGATATTTTGATTGGTCATACAGCTTGGTTTTTAACATTAAATTTTCTGTGACAGGATCAGAGAAATACAGAGTACGTTTATTTACTTTCATCCTACACAAATGCAAAAACACACCAGAAATCTCAAGAGGTTCAAGAAAGGAGAAGACCGCCATCACTGTGGTAAGAGAATGGTTTAGAAAACTGATAGGAATGGGAAAAAGACACAATTTTCTCCTTAGAAATAAACTTGTGGATAAAGTTTGTTGTCTCCAAAGGCCTGAATATCTTTGTCATAGTCCTTTGCTTTTGTACGCTCCCTAAAAGTCTTCACGGATTTAGCTACCTGTCCTGAGTCTGTGCCTCAAAGTGGCCATACAGAGGCACCAGAGAAACAATGTCCACTTCAGCGTTTGGACAAAGGTTGCCTCTGAGACTGTTTTACTCCAAAAACATGCCGTAGCAGACATGCAGACACACTGTGGGCCTCTCTGTGAAGTTCTAATGGAACCGATGGCTTAAATGGCATTTATTATGACTTTGTGGTACGTGTGTTTTTTGCAGGGTGAAGCTGAATGGGATTTCCAAGACCTTTCCTACACACATATTGAACCACCTACCGCCCCCTGCCCCATTGCAAATGGAATAGTGCATTGCCATCTTGAGGAGTTGTATGGTGATGCAAGCCGTAGCGTAGGCTGATGAATTTCATGGCTGTAAATGTTAACCAGCCATTTATTAAGCCACCTCACACCCATTACTGGCTGTACAACACAACTTGTGAGCGCAGCATTAGCACAGAATATATGTGCAAGCGGAGACTGACAAAGTTCTCCACAAAAATTAGCTGACTGAAAAAGCAGTTCGTTAAGAAGCATTTCTTAAAGCAAACCTCTAAAATACCAGTACTCACAGAATTTTAATTTTCCCTAGAGCACCTGCTCATGAGCAGGTATTACTGCAACTAAGCAACGTGTCTTGTGGTCCAAAGCTCCTGTTTTTTCCTCAGAGTTCAGTAGGTGTTCTGAGTTCTCCTTACAGAAATAATCACCATCAGCTCCACAGAACAGATACACCTCTGCTCTTTGTTGCTGTCACCACTGCTGAAACGTTCCACCCACCGCCTCACTGTGCTCACATCCACTTTGTGGTCTCCGCAAACATGCAGCAAATGTCGATGAATGTCAGCAGATGCCATTGTTTCCACACGGAAGAATTCAGTGACACACCTTTGTTTCATCTGCATCAGATGCCATTCTGTCAGACTGCCCCTCAGGTTGCGTTGTAAGCCGTTGTTCTCAGCTCCTGGAACTGTATGCTGTGCAATGCTGGTGCTCTAAACCTCACAGACATGCTCAGCTGGCATGCAGGCACAATGAGGGCCACGTGATCACCATCCACTGATGCGAATGTCACCATCCCTCTCATGCAGGGATGTCCATTATCATGGACATTATGTCCATTATCATGGACATTACAATGGGCGATTGTCACCTGCAGCGAACCAACACCAACAAATGCATCTGTGTTTTCCCCAGTGCCTCTGTCCATTCCATTCGCCATATCATGTACAGCTGGCACCTGGGTTTTGTAGCAACCTCAGTCAAGGCTTTGATTGAGTTTTCAACAGGTTGCCCCCATCTTGACACATCTCCAGATCCATACAGCACAATGGTGCCTTCAACAAAACCCCCGTCTGCCTTTGGGGCAGCAGGACACGGGCCTAATGACTCTCCTCACATGCCTGCACTTCTGCATCAAAGGAAGTCGTTGGCTTGCTCTCAGAGATTTTCTCCTATTTTTTTCCCCTACTTGAAGTCAGCAGGCCTATTCTATGCTCTACATCCTTTCTGGGGCCACAGACAAGAGTGACACCAGCAAGCAAAAGGGGCTCATTAGAGACTACTGCAACACTGGAGCACTTGCTCTGTGAGAAAAGTCTGTGTGGCCAGCACTGGTTCAGTACACAGCAGAAAAGGGGGAGTTAAAGAGGAGTTATAAAGTTCAGGGTGGAGACAAAGAAAGATCATGGTGAAACTCATTAAACACCAGCAGTACATGGAATCTGTAAGTCTGGAAGTTTTGAAGAGCTGAGTGGGTACAACCCAGTTACAACAGAAGCCCATTTACACGCAGTTAAGTCCAGGAAGAGAAAGCACTGCCAGTATAAAAAGTAGGAATTACATCCTCAATTGCACCAACATCAAGAAATTGCAATATAAGAAATCTGCCTTCTTTTTCATTTAGTTCATTGGTTTCCAAGAGGATATTTCAGAAGAGATCAGGTGGGAGACTATTTGATTGTTCTGTTTTGCTTTCGAAAGAAATTCCTGCAATGAAATGTTTGGTGGAGTACTTTGATGTGGCAAAGGATAAGTGGTAAAATTTACAAAAGCAATTGAGGTTGAATTATGACATCTTTAGGTCCATGGCTGGGGTTAGCTTCATCTTTCCCACGGAAACTAGAAGGAATGTGGAAAACAAAACATAAAAAGAGAAAATAGTACTCAGAGGAAAATAAAATGTGAGACCTCCCTAAAACGGGGTTTTATTCATTGCCCAGCAGCAGCTTTTGTTGCCAAAGCTAGCAGCTCCTGCTGTCCCTCACCATAAGGAAATACTCGTGCTGAAAAAAATCCTGTTCAAGTAACAAACAAGAAATGCCATAGTCAGGATGGGATGCCCATGGGTCCCACTCACTGCCCTCAGGTCAGGAGTACTGTTTGGAGAGCAGAGCCCCTTTGTCTCCTGCCCCAGCTGGAGACTGCTGCAGGTGGAACAGTCTCCCTGGACGACTCTAAGAGATCAAGGCCCTTTAGCTCATGGCCTCCATCTCTTAGGGTGTCCAGCTAATTTTAACAGCCCAAGTCTGAGTGCCATTGGCTTGTCACAACTGCCATGTGCCCACTGACTACCTTTCTTCTACACCTCCATATCTCCCACTTGCACACTGCATGTGTGCCCGCAATTGGCACAGCAGCAGCTCTTGTGGTTTCTGTTCCTCTAAATTTCCCCAGATTCAGAGGAAACTGCCAAAGATGTCATGATGTTTTCTAAATGCTTCTGAAAGCATGTCTCCTAAGGAAAAAGACGTAGAGACCTGCTAAAGAAGATTTGGAGTCAACCAACCCAAACCTAAATTTATGCCTTGAATATATGTCTGTATGTCTATCAATTAGGGAATTTAAGACCTCTGATGGGAGTGTTGAAAAGGTTAATCAATCTTTTGATCCTGTTGCTAATCATGGTTGGGGCCCAAGGCGGGGTTTGTAGCTGTAGCCAGAGCCCTAGTGCATGCATGGCAGCAGGACAGACTTCTTGTGTATCACAGACAGGCTTTGAGAGTTTGAAAGTATGAGAATGAGTGAGAGCAACTTGTGTTCTTCCAGTTTTTATCTGTAAGTAAATCACCTACCTCTCCTGTTTGCCCCCTCCTGGTATTTACTACACTGTGGGTATGCTGATGCAACAGTTCTTCCTACTCCCTCTGGTCTGGTCTGCTGCTGTGGCCTCCACATGGCATCTGTGAGAGTTTTTGATCCTGTCAATACACAGCCTCAGCTGCATGAAGCAATCCCCTGCTTTTAACAGCTTCCCTTATCCTATAATCAGTAGCCATTACTAAGCCTCTGTCCACATTTCGAGCTGTTAATCCCATAAATCTTTGTGTTGTTTCTCCAGCACAAGTTTGCTCACCCCTCACTACGGTGGTGGAAACCATTTTTCTTCTGGATTTTGGAAGTCCCATTCTGAAACTGTCACACTGGGATACAGGCTGAAGGCGTTAGTTGCCCCTGCAAGATGGTAAATCCACCTATGCTGCAGCACCCAGAAGCAACAAGCCTGACAGTAGTCACTTTTTTCCCCACCTTAAGCCTTTGAAAACAAACTGCCTGGGTCCTGAAGCTTTGTTGTCCAACTGCTTTCTGTGTACTTCATCCCTTCATTAAGTAATAGGATTCGGCTATAAGCAAGTCCATGGATATACCTGGTTTGTTTTATCCCAAAGCAGACTAACCATGCCAGATGGAAGAAATGAGTGTGTAAATACCTTGAAGCCAACCCTGGTTCTTGGAGGTACTGATAGGTATCTGTGGGTAATTTTTTTGATCACATACATGTGGAGAGATGGTGACCAGGCCTGGAACCACTGAACCGAGCTGCTGGCAGCAATGATCAGCTTCAGCCCAAGGATATTGGCAGATGGATACTAAGTATAAACTGTGACCCAGCTTTCTCATTTTAAGCCATGGCAAAGTTCAGATACTACAGAGTGAGGGTAATTTACTGCACTTATTGCTAAGCGATTGAAGGAACATGGCAGCTTCCTCCACCTGCTCTGCTTCAGGCTGCTGCTGCCTGGCTGCTATACAGCTGGCTCCAGCCCAGATGCCGTGCATCAGCACCACACATAGGACCCCACATCTGAGGGGCACAGCCTCCTACCCTGGGGCTGGCAGAGGCAGCAGGCCCTGCTGCAGGCCCACATCAACATCCCTGGGACATCATCAGCACCCACACACCCACTGCTCCCAGCACAGAACAGCACAGCCCCTCTGTCCACACCCTGGGCTTCTCACCTGCCTGTGCACCCTCAGCTGCCTGATGCCCCCAGTTTGACACTGAGCCCTAGCACTCAGTCCATTCACCCCTTCCCCAGGAGCCAGCACCCAGTCCTTGACACTCCAACACATGTGAGACAGAGACTGAGATCACACAGAGAGATGACTCTGAGAGCATTTAGCGGAGACAGGACAGGCTGTGGTGATCAGGTGCAGAACTCAGAAGGACTACACTGACTGGCAACTATTCACACATGACCAGCCCCTTCCTACCTATCTCTTCTATCTGTTCACCATTTTGCTGATCTTGTCCCCTTCCCTTACAGGCCACCTTATCAGCTGACACATTCCCACTGACCCCCTCTGACATCTTAGACCCTCATGTTTGTAGCCTTATCAGCTGCGAAGTCCTACTTTGTGTGTAGTTTCTTGCCAATCCATCAGTTAGTGTGAGTGACCAAGCTGGTTTCTTGTTCTTGTCTCTGTTACATCTGTATACCAGGTTTGTGCCCCCATATATTTTACTGTTTCCCCCTCTTCCCTGGTATCCCACTTAACAAGGTCCTCGATCAGATAATCATACTGCAAGAAATACTTTCACACTCCACATTAGCAAGCAGCATGACTGCTTCTGTTACCATGTGTTGATCAAGTTTGTGTCTGTCTGTGTTCTTGTTTATGGCTTCCACATTTTCTTAATGTCCCCTTTTGTGCTGAGAAAGTCCTCAATCACACAGCCTTAAAGGAGAAGACACTCTCCCACATATCTTCACAATTTGTACATAATTGAAAAATGTTATCAACACTGTATTAGAAAGGAATATGGAGTAGAATATAGCAGAAAAATGAAAAAAAATTCTTTATTTTAACAGTTGTACAAATAAGAAAACAATCCCCAATAGCTGTACTTGGAATAATATTAAAGTGTCAAACATGACAATTCTGACAGAATACATATCAATATTTTAAACCACAGAAATTTTGTTACATATGCTCAGTAGCAGTAGTACTGTGCAGGAATGATGCTCTCTGTAAACGCTCTTCCTTTATTTTATCTACATTTAGAACAATTGTGCTTTTCCCAACACACAGTAACAGTGCTCTTAAAAATAAATAACGTGCAATTTCAGATTAATATCCTGAAATATGCTAATCTAGATCCCCATCTAAATCCCGGACACATCTCTCCAGGAAAGTCACTGTAAGGAGTGCTCAGCACTTTTTTCAAACACTAATAAAATGTTCTGAACCTACACCTATTTTTCTTCAAATTGCAATCAATTGAAAAAAGAAAGTTAAAAAAAAAAAAAAAGAAAAAAAAAAGAAAGGTGCTGACCTTAGACATGTACTGATTTTTTTTGTTTAACAAAATAGTGATACAGTTTTTACTAGACATCATGCTGTGTAAGTAAGCCAAAGTCTTAAAGGTTCAGTGGAGAGTGGCTCAGAGCTGAGGGAGAAAGAGTTTTCCCAAAGCTGAAAACTTAACAATGAAAGGTATTTATCCATTATCTTTATGAAATATAAAAGAAAGACTGTCTGCCACAGAAACATTAATATACATGATATTAAACAATTTATAATAAACTTATATGAATGAAATTGAGTTCTTCAATGTAGAGCTGCAATGAGATTTGGAAAAATATGCAAGGCTGTCTTGATGTAGTTCCTGGTTCTTATTTTTAGCAGATATTTAGAAAATATGGCTGGCAATTACCATGGCTTATGGGAGGATAAATTTGAGGAACACTCAATCAATGGGTATTCCACAGATGATCATCACAATATTAGGGATTGTTCCTCTTATCCTATCTACTTCATTTTTGTTGTGGATAATGTTGGATGATAAAAGTAGTAATTTTAATAAAGCTTGTTATCTGATAGGCAACACAGGAAGTATGAATATTTACAGAAAAACAGAAATGATTCCAGGCAACTGCAGAGGTTTGAGCTCAGAAGGATCAGTATGTGAAATATATTCCACTATAAAGTCCCTATACAGCTGCTAAGCATTTGGGGTACCTGCGTTTTTCCAATAGGTCAACTGTAGGGAAAAAGTCATACAGGTGACCTGGGATCTGGGATGCCAGGAGAGACACATACAAAGATCCCACAGCAATACAGAGGCAGGTCTAAAGGAAAGGTGAGAAGGGATGTTTGCAGAGTCCACTGCTATGGCTTCCTAGCAGTAACAAGGCTAACAACCACTGCCATTAAACCTACCCAGAAAACTCCAGGACACATCGCAACTAGGTCAACCTAGAGCAATTGGTAACCCACTGTCACGAACTAATTCAAAATGGACAGCTTGCAGCACAGTTTGTATTTTAGTTTACTTGAATTCTCTTTTCGTGGATAGCCTGACACCACTTGGAAGAAAAAACATTCCCAGAGGAACAGATAAAGCTCACTAAGGAGCTCCTCTGAGCTTCTGCGAGACTGGCATCTGAATTCACCAAGGGAAAGCCAATCAACATGTATGAAATGCATTTTAAAAACTTGACACTAGCTGCTGGGAAACATTATTAATACGCCCACCTTCTATCAAGGAAATATCTTGTCCTAAACTACAAGTTTTCAAGGTATACACAAAACACTCTGTGGCTGATCAACATCAAGTTAAACATTCTACCCTGTATTGCTACTTAGTTCCTAGGCATGTCTCTGTTTCAGTGGTGTTCACATCAGGACCTTATCCCATACCTCTGTATATAGCTGAAGTAAATTGTCCTGGTGAATAAGCAAAGATGCTATTGTGTCCTAGATAAAGTATAATAATTTCTGTTTCCCATCAACTTTTAGCAAAACTGTCTGAAAGGCAGTGATTTAACCTACTAAACTTGCATCATCAGAGACCTCTAGCCATGTGTGATGAACTACATGTGAATACATAAAAAGAAAAGTAGTTAACAAGTGGTGTTTTTAATTAGTAATATTGTTAGTGCCACGCTACATCTTAATTGCTCAAACTAGGATAGATAAACTAAATATCACTGGAGATGAAAATCAAACCTAGAGCTGAAAACAACACAAGAAAATACTCCTGGTATCTGCATGCCATCTCCTTAGTCTAGCCTTTCATGAAAAGGGTGAAACCACAGTGTTTTTACTTCACCTGCTCCTAAAGAGCTAAAACATACTGTATGCACACATGTATTGTACATTATTATATGTTGTACTGACCCTCTCATACCCTCCTATATCCTCTTCATTTCTGAAAGAAAAGATGGAAAGAATTCTCAATTTCATAAACAAAGTTGAGGCTCAGAAAAATCAGTGTAAAATGTTATTTCAGAGAATTACCCATTAGAACATCAAGTTGATAGAAAAGAGGTATATTAGATGGGGTTATCATCCAACACCATTAGAAATGTAAGCTTTAAAAGAACTCTTTGATCTGCAGTTCATTTATTTTCCATTTAATTGGATGTCTTCCTCTTTAACCATATTCCACTATGTCACCTGAGTTTCTTTAGACTTTGTGTTTTCCATTCAATTAGGAATAAAAATTACATATATATTTGAATGTATGAAACAATTTCCTTACTCTTGCAGATTTTTCTGAAGAATGAAATTATATACGCAAAGTAAAGTCTTCACTTTTGAGATGCTTAGTTCAAAAACTAAAACATGTTCCCCTCAGAAGCAAAGAAACATCATTAAATCTACTCTATTTCTTCAAGGAAAAAGGTGTATACACTGTAAGAGTAATCTTTGGTACCAAAAATAAGGGCACCTTTTTGTAAATGTCTTCAAATCTGAACACAACAGAAACACTCTTAAAAAAATGGCTCAAATGACCTATCTCTGAGTGCTTCCACGTATTGACAGCTGTAGCTAGAAAAACAACTGGGAGGTTAAGAGTTGTGTGACAGTAGGCTACAACACAATAACAACTGACAAAGTATTTTATGTTTCCCTCCACCCTCCTACCCTTGTTTTTTTTTTGTGTTTATTTTTTGTAGTTTTTTTTTCCTAAGACAATTCCATAAAATATTTACTTTAATTACTCATTACATCCTCAAAATCCTTTAAGGATTTAATTACTCAAAAGCAACAAAACCCAACCAACAGCCATAAGAAAAACAGCAACAAAAGCTCAAGTTATAATACAAGATCAGAAACAGTCCCCTGACTGAATGCATTTACTTGTTTGACCTTATGGATTTCACTTTCTCTGTTCAATTCCATCATGATATATATATATTTTTTTTCTGCCAAAGTCTAGTTTCTTTGCAGAAGAAAATATGTTGTCCCCAGGTGATGTCTTCTCTCTGACCACAGTGGTAAGTCAGCAGTAAGCAGGCTATGTTTTTCTTCTTTAATTCATGATGAATGTATCATTGGATACTGTAAACACTACTGAGTATACATTCAAACTTTGTTCTTAGTGAAAGTGGCACTTACTTGAACCCTTGCAGTCAAAATAGCTTAGTTTTATAGCACTTTGCAGGTATAATAGCTGGTTATGTAATTCTGACAAAATTCCTTTTTCCAATGGCTGAAAGGGTATTGAAGCATATCCTCATTGGGATCCCACTGCCATTCCACAGCATCTTTATGATGAAGAGCATATTCTGTACTTCTTACTGTACTTTACATGTGCTTTATTGCTGTACACATTTCCCTGTTGTTAACTTAAGTGCTCCTCTGTTATGTAATACATACAATGTTTTAAACTCTAATGGCATCCTGTGAGGGCTGGCATTAGAAAAGTACCGATACTTCAGATCATCGTAATAATGATATTTGACTGGTTTTCCATGTAAATCCTTTGGGAATGGCCAAAATCCGTACAGGTGAATTTCATCACAAAATCTGGTGGCAAGCGTGTACATGAGGAGACCAGTGCTGGGTCGTTTGATGTGGACCTTGTTTGTCAGCCAGTAGCTGCAAAGAAAAAAAAGTACATTAAAATCCTCTCATACAACTTCTAGTGAATAAATCATGTAAATCATGAAAAAGTGCTCAGAGACAAAGCCAAACTGGTGGTGCAGTTGAAATACTGGAGGGAAGGGATGACAAATGGAGCGGGTTTGAGAGGTGTGCCCAGATAAATATCATAAAGTTCAACAAAGCCAAATGCAAGGTCCTGCACATATGCTGGGACAATCCAAAGCACAAATATGGATTGACAGCAGTTCTAAGGGGAAGGAATTGGGGGAGGAGTGCTTTGCGCTGCACTATATCATACTGTGACAATGTGAGCTTGCAGCACAGAAGGCAAAATGTATTGTTGGCTGCAGCAAAAGAATTGCAGCTAACAGGTTGAAAGATCAACAAAAAAAAGACACAGACTGTCAAGACTGGGTCCAGAGGAGGGCCACAGAAACAATCATATGGCTGGAGCACATCCTCTGTGAAGAAATGTTGAGACAGCTGCAGTTGTTCAGTCTAGACAAGAGAAGGCTTTGGGGAGACCTAATTACAGGCTTTCTGTACTTTACTTACAGGCACCCATTACAAAATACACGGAGACATTTTTTCTAGAGCCTACAGTGACGGGACAAGAGGTAATCGTTTTAAACGAAAGGAGGGGAGACTGAGGTTAGATGCTAGGAGGAAATTTTTTACTCAAAGGACGGTGAGGCCCTGGCACAGCTGCTCAGAGAAGCTGTGGATGCCACAACCCTGGAGGCGCTCAAGGCCAGGCTGGATGGGGCCCTGGGCAGCTGAGCTGTTGGAAGATGTCTCTGTCCACGGCAGGGAGATCAGAACTGGATTATTTTTAAGGTCCTTTCCAATTCAAACCATTCTAAGGTTCTGTGATTCTACACTTATTTTTATCTATTCATTTTTTAAACATCTATTTTCCCCATCAAACAAACAAGTTTCTTTCTTCTCTCTAAACTCTCTACACTAAACTCTCAACAGTGACACTATATTTCATATGCCTTTATACTACCAAGAAGAAAAATGACAGTGCTGGAGAAAGGGTAGCTAAATTAAGTTTTCCTTTCAGGCTTCAACTTTGATAAGAACCCACAATGTCTGCAACTGCTAGAAAACTTCCATTAACATCCTCACTGCTGTGATCAGGAAACACAGCTCTTGTTATAAGCTTTCACCCCATGCAGTATCCAATTCACCTCAAGTCAGCCCTACACTGAATATCTGATTAGCCTTGCAATTACTTCACAGATTATTTGACTAAATATAGAGAAATATAAACAATAGTAAATATAATGTTATGTAACTAAACACAAATTTAGCTTTAATTAGTTTGCTTGGAAGTACTTAGAGCTTCCTATTTCCGAACAGCAGTCTCTGGAAAAACTCAAAATCTTTTAATTGTGAAATGCTTTGATTTTGTACTCAATAGTACACAAACCCACTTAAAACTACAAGACTGTTACTGTTCTGAGCCAATAACAACATTTGATTATCAGCTTAAAAGCTGCAGGTAGTTTTCAAAGACACAAGTGGAGGGAAGATACAGAAGGGACATAGAAACTGGTCAGGATTCTGGTATGTAACTCACTTTGGTACCTTCAAAATTCACTACCAAAATTGTTTTACATTCTTAATCTTTAAAAATTAGACTTCAGTAAACTAATGCCATTCTATTATTACTGCTAACATAATTTTCCCATCCATGATTCAACAGAGTTACAGAAAAAGAAAGGCATTTAGAAATTTAAACCCAGTCATTCTGCTGGTCCAGATAAACATCAGCCACACACATAGCTGTACTGGTCAAACTGTGGGAACAAGAAGCTGTAAAACCGGGAAAATAATCAAATTCTTATACAGCACTGCCACAGAAATCTAAACCATTGCACTGTATCACTACACTCTTACAAGGAGTCAAAGGAGATTAGCCTTACCAGAACAGTTAGTCTTGTGTTAAACAGTTATAATAAAGTTGAAGCTCAGATAGTATTGTATTAAAGGCATTTAGAGATACAGCAAAATGACTCTCACCCAAATGAGAACAAACAAGAACATGTTTTTAATCAGTGAACAGTCTCAAAAGCATCAGATGCTATGTAATATTAATAACAATCTTCAGATTGCACCTGGCCTCTTCAGTTTCCCTCTTCCAAAAACACAGGCCCTACAGGCTAATGTCTTTGAATCTAAGATATGTGTGAATTAGATTATTTTCCATTGTACTCAGTTACTTTTTGAAAGCTGAAGGAATCTATGAGCAGAAAGCAATTCTAAGCTGACTGATTGTCTCTCCAAAGATAATAAAGCAAATGAATCAGAATTTTGTTTGGCCGTAAAAAAGTAGCATGGTAATAAGTGTAGTTAAAAAGCAATTACAGTGGGGAATAGTTACATGTACAAATGCCCAATGTACTGAATGTACCGCACATTTTTCATAAACTTGAGCTTTGAGACAAAAGTTCCTAACATATAATGCTAAGCATTTACTTCCTAAACTGAGAAACTGATACAACATTTTTAAAACAAGACAAGTTAAAGGAGAGACTCTTGTTGTTTTTGGTTGACATGAGTCAGCAGTGTGTGCAGGTGACCAAGAAGGCCAATAGTAGCCTGGCTTGTATCAGAAATACAGTGGCCACGTACACTGGAGAAGTGATTGTCCCCCTGTACTCAGTTCTGGTAAAGCCACACCTTGAATACAGCACTCAGTTTCGGACTTCGTATTAAAAGATGCAGTAAGTCACTGGAATATATTCAGAGAAGTGCAACAAAGCTGGTGAATGGAGTAGAAAAGAAGACTTAACGAGGAGTGGCTGAGGGATAAAGGTTGTTCAGCATGGAGGAGACTGAGGGAAGACTTCAACACTCCCTCTAACCACCTGAGAGGAGGCTGTAGCAAGACGGATGTCCATCTTTTTACACAGGTGATACATGACAGCACAAGAGGAACCACTCAAGTTGCACCAAGGAAGGTTCAGACTGCATATTAAGAAGAATGGAAGGGATATCTAGGCACTGGAACGGGATGACCAGGGAAGTGGTACAGTTGTCATTTGTCTCCTGTGGCGTTTAGGGACAAGGTTTAGTAGGGGACTCAGTTGTGTTAGGTTGATGGTTCGACTAGATGACTCTAAGGGTTTTATTTGTGATCAGTGATCCTGTGATTTTTTGTTACTGTTACTTTTGAAAGTTTGCTTGTAGAAAAGTTTTTGAAAAAACAAAACTCAACACTTTTGGTAGTTTGTATCATAGATATAGCAGAACAGACTGAAAGTAAAACTTGATTATTTAATATTCATATACATTTATGTCTTCAGAAATAATTTTGTATCTGCTCTAATTATATGCAGTCAGCTATCTACATGACTGCCTCTAGCCAAACAGTAATCAGAATTGATGTATTTAGTACGACAGCCTACAACTGCCATCATCCAAGCTGCATTTCAACCTTACAAGATGGTTACTGCAGAGAAGAAAGCTTACAGTAAATGGATGTATCTTAATACCTGAGAGGGCCACAAAAAATTCTGAGAGCTTCTGTACAGGAGTAAGTATTAAAGACATAATGAAGAGCATTTCACAGTTTTAGAACTTAAAAGCTCGCCTTCTTTTCTGCTTGTCAAAGAAAAAGTAAATTTGTTTGGTTTCTCTTAAAAATGAAAAAGATATCCAAGCTCTGCAGTCCAAATGCAGTACTAACTGCACTTACTATCAAGAAGGTAACACAATTGTCTGATATTGTGGAATAGATAAAACACTGCTGAAATGAATGCAAATGGCATGGGCAAAATTAGAGGATTAGATAAAATCCAACAATTCATGTACTTCTTCAGAGGTGCATGTACAGTTCAAAACTGGTCATGAACTACCTGTGAGTCAAAAAGACAAACCTCTTACACCTTATCTGTAATTCAAGATGCCTTCGTAATGTGAGATATTTGCAGGTCAATTATTGTTATTTCAGGAACTGCAAGAAGGCTTTCAACTACATATAGAAAAGTAGAAGTAGGAAAACTTTTCTCTACCAAGAAATTCTTATCCCATACTTGCTGTACCTCCATCAAAATCAATAAAATTATATTAGAAAATAAGAGATTAAGAATTTATTACTACTGCAGTCAACAAATTCTCAGAGTTCCTGAGATTAGGACTTTCTAAATCTACTTTTGAGCATATTTCTATTTCTTTATAACATTTCATGATGCCTTTACATACTTACAAATATTCACCTTTTTGGTTTAAACCTGAAATGGTTTAACTCAACCTCACGTGAAAGAAATTGAAATAAAGGGAAACAAAATGAAAAACAGAATGTGAGCAGAATATAAATAAAACCTTTCTTCTTTGATTAGGCAGTAAACTTTCTGTCAAAAGGGTTATTCCCAACCAGTGACGTAACTCTCCAATTGCTATAATCAATCCTTTGACACTGGGAAGAGAGAGGTAACATGCAGTACAAGTTGCAAATCAGATGTACTCTACACTAGTTTTAAGTCTTGTGACAGCAGTATACTTTTGTAATTTGTTATGATCTGGAAAAATGAATAGAATTTTAAAGGAGATGAGTATGAGCTCCAAAATTACTTCCACAGCAGAAAACTGGAAGAAAAACAAATGAAGAAGTAAAAGTCTGCTCTAATGAATGTGAGATACATCAATATTATACACCTAATAATCATTGGTAAAAGACACGCTTGTCTTATGTGTTTATGAAATGTCAGTATTTTGGCCTTTAAAGATATTGAACTTGCTTCTGCCAGATGAAAATATCACCTGTAGTTTAATTTGCAATCAAAACCACCAGACTTCCATTTACACCTAAGAAAATACCTTTGCATTTATGAAAATGGAATGTAATATTAAAAGCATGATTTCAGAGGAAATGTTAGTTGAATAGCATATTGCTAACTGGTCATGACTCCTTGAAGCTATTGACAAAAATTAAATTCCAATAAACAATCAAAAATATAGACATCTGTTTAAAAGATAGTGGACAA